TATAGTAAAATCCGTACTGATAGGTCCAAAAGCATTTATACATGCAGCAAAAGAAAGATCAACTTTTGCTATTTATGCTGCACCTATTTCTGAAAACGTAAAGACTTCAAGTGGCATTCCAAGTCAATATCAGGAGTATCAAGACGTTTTTGAGAAAAAGAATGCAGATATTCTTCCTGAGCATCGCCCATATGATTGTTCAATCGACCTCAAGGAACGAACTCAACCACCATTTGGACCAATTTACAATTTATCGCAAGATGAGATGGCTGAACTCAAGACATATATTGACGAGAATTTAGCGAAGAATTTCATACGCCATTCAAAATCTCCAGCAGGAGCTCCAATTCTATTCATAAAGAAAAAAGATGGATCTTTACGAATGAGTGTTGATTATCGAGGACTCAACAAGATCACAATCAAGAACAGGTATCCATTACCTTTGATATCAGGACTCCTTGACTAGTTAAATCAAGCTAAGATCTATACAAAAATAGATCTAAGAGGAGCATATAATCTAGTACGGATCAAAGAAAGAGATGAATGGAAGACTGCGTTTCGAACCAGGTATGGACATTTCGAATATAATGTCATGCCCTTTGGACTCACGAATGCACCAGCTGCTTTTCAACATCTCATGAATAATGTATTTCGTGAATTCTTAGACAATTTTGTCGTTTGCTATCTAGACGATATCCTGATCTATTCTAAGAACGTCAAAGAACATGAAATACATGTTCGTCAAGTATTACAAAAACTTAGAGATGCAGGATTGTACGCCAAGATGGAAAAGTGTGTATTTCACACTACTCAAGTTGACTTTTTAGGATACATCATTTCAAATGATGGTCTCATGATGGATTCTAAGAAAGTCCAAACAATCATGGATTGGAAGATTCCAAAGACTGTAAGAGATGTCTAATGTTTCTTGAGATTTGCCAATTACTATCGGATCTTCATCAAAGATTTCTCACGAGTTGCAGCTCCACTTACACGCTTGACTAGTAAAGATAAATTCCAATGGAATCAAGAAGCGGAAGCAGCATTTGAAGCCTTAAAGACATCGTTTGTCTCTACACCAGTCTTATATCGTGTTGACTTTTCCAAGGCATTTTTTATGGAAACAGATGCATCAGATTTTGCCTGGGTGTAGTTTTATCACAAATGGGATCAGATGACAAACTTCATCCGATAGCTTTTCATTCAAGAAAATTCTCAGCAGCCGAGATCAATTATGAGATCCACGATAAAGAACTTCTTGCGATCGTGGATTCCTTTCAAGAATGGCGTCATTATCTAGAAGGCGCTTCTAGTCCAATCACTGTATATACAGATCACAAGAACCTCAAGTATTTCATGTCAGCACACGTATTGAATCGTCGTCAAGCTCGTTGGAGTATGTCTTTGTCAAGATTCGAGTTCATTATCACTTATCGGCCAGGAAAACAATAAGGTTTGTCCAATGCATTGTCAAGACGTTCTTATTTTGCACCAAAAGAAGGAGATGCAGCTTTTGAGCAACAAAGAACGGTCCTCTTGAAACCGGAGTAATTTCATCTCCGAGCAATGAAATCAACATTGACTGTTGATTCAACTTTTCTCAAGCAAATCTAGTCCAATATGTCCTCAAACCCTCTTGTTCATGATATCGAGAATAATTCTTCCAAGTCTCATGATCCTTTTAAGTTCGAGTTCAAGAATAATCTATTATATTTTGAAGGACGCCTATATGTTCCAGAAGGAGAAGCACGTTTACGTGTTCTTCAAGCACGTCATGACTTTCCAGCAGCAGGGCACTTTGGATATAATAAGACTTTGGAACTCATATCAAGAGATTTTTGGTGGCCACAAATGTGGAAGTCAGTCAAAGACTTTGTACAATCATGTGATATTTGTTCAAGATCAAAAATTCCTTGTCATCGACCTTACGAACTTCTTCAGCCATTACCTATACCAAAACAACCATGGTCTTCTGTTTCTATGGATTTCATTACAGATCTTCCAAGCTCAAGATCTTATGATTTTATATTTGTGATAGTAGATCGTTTCACCAAGATGGCACATTTTGTGCCATGTACAAAATCTATCACAGGTAAAGAAACAGCTAAGCTTTTCATTGATAATATCTATCGCTATCATGGATTACCTAAAGATATCATATTGGATAGGGGAACTCAATTTGTGTCAAGATTTTGGAGGACCCTTTTCAAGATTTTAAAAGTGGACATAAAGCTATCTTCAGCTTTCCATCCTCAAACTGATGGACAAACAGAGCGCGTAAACCAAGTCTTGGAGCAATATTTAAGGTGTACTATCAACTACCAACAAGATGATTGGACAACCTTTCTGTCATTGACAGAGTTTGCTTATAATAATACGGTACATTCTTCCACGCAACAAACACCTTTCTTTGCCAATTAAGGCTATCATCCACGACTTGATACTTTTGATTTTTCAAAAGTTGATAATCCTGCAGCAGAAGATATGGAAAATCAGTTGTTAGAGTTACATGCAATAATGAAGACGCAATTGAAGGAAGCTCAAGAACGACAAAAGATAAACGCAAATCTATATCGTAAGGAGCAACCACAACTCAACGTGGGTGATAAGGTATGGCTACTTCGTCGCAATATCAAGCCTACTCGACCTTGTGACAAGTTGGACTATCGTAGGCTTGGCCCCTTTTCTGTTTCTGAACAGATCAACCCAGTTGCATATCGGTTACATCTACCGGAGTCAATGAAGATCCATCATGTATTCCACGTGTCTCTTCTTGAACCATATAAGATAGTGGATATACAAGGAAGAAGACAAATGCCACCGCCTCCTATAGAAGTAGATAATAATGAAGAATTTGAGGTGGAAGAGATATTAGACTCAAGGCGGCGCCGAAATAAGCTGGAATATCTTGTTCATTGGCACGGATATGATATTAGTGAAAGCACATGGGAGCCATCCAGGAATCTAGCAAATGTATCAACTAAAGTCAAAGTTTTTCATCAACGACATCCATCAAAACCAAGATGAAAATCTCTCTTATAAAAGAGACAAGATTGAGGCAAGATAACATTCAATTTCCTATCCTTGTTTGTAACTTCTTTGCATTTGTGATGCTAATTAGATGGAGAGCCAACAACCAGCAGATTCAACTCAAGAACCTTCGTTTGTTGACCTGCCGGACGAGACATTACGATTGTCACAACCTTCAAGACGACGCAATCGAGATGAAGATCTTCAAGAACGACATGTTCTTCTTCAAATAGATGGTGAGATACAACGCGTTTGGTATCACGATTTGGGAAGGGACTCCCAATGTTTGGTGATTTTGCTAGAGGTAGGAATAACTCCTGATGGTGTTCCAAATATTCTATTCGAAAGAAGTTACGAAGGCCTCAACAATGATCAAATAACTGGGTGGTCTTCCCGCCCTGGTATGGGACACTACCGATGGTTGAGAGGCCCTATCAATCATCTTCGAAGAGAACAGAGATCAGAGTATGTGGCGAATACAATTCGTCGCATCATAGATTTCCTCAACATATGATGACCGCTCCTCGTGGAACTCGTCTCTAGAAGGGGGGATAATGTCACGGCCATAATCATGTAAGCTAATAATTACATATAGAAATAGGTAGAAGTAAGTAAAAATAAATAAAAGTAAGTTAATTCTATAATATTTAATATAGAAGCTTCTTAGAAACTTCCTAGACGCTGCTTTGACTTCATAGGTGTCTTTAATTGACTTTTTGGATTAGAAACGTGGTCAACAAGTTGGCCATGTGCCACACATGTTGTTAGCTTGAAGATCAAGCTAACTATGTGGCCCACACATAGAAAAACTTGCCTTTTAAGTCAAGGCATGTGTCCTACAAAGTCAACACATATTAGAGGTCCTATAGAACGTCGCCATGTAGCCCCTAGTTAGATAGTATATATAGAGACAAGAGTGAAGGCTTCTTCACTCTTGTCAACTCCTTTCTTGCTTCTAGTCTAGGTTCAAGAGTCTTTAGTTTCTTGTCTTGTGGCAATAGCCATTCCAGTTTCCTTTTAATATACCTACTTGTTTATATTTTGACTTATTATATCGAGATAGCCTTTTGTGTATATTTTCCCTCATCGAGTCTTTGTCCTTGACATCTAAAGGCTACAAACACTTAGCATCAGCAAGGATTGTACTCTAAGAGAAAGTGTGGAGGAAGATAATTCTTACTTCCAACACTCTTTACTTATAGGTGGTGGTTTGCTCACCAACGAGGCAACTTCCATCCATTTGATATTACATCCATTTCTACCTCATCTTATTAAAGCCTCGGTAATACTACAATAACTTACTTTACCTCTTTGCTACCTTTTTACTATGAGCAACATACTATGCTTAAACTTTATGTGATTGTAACTAAGCAAGTACTTGCTGTTCTTCAACAGGAATTTCAGTCCGTAGTTGAAGTTTATACTCAACTAGAGCACATGAACTTGGTGAAGGTGACAAGCTTCGTGGACGCGAAGAATGAGCGCCTTCTTGTGACTGAGTATGTAACAAATGGAAACTTGAGGCAACATCTTGACGGTACAGCTTGGAGACATAGAACCTAGGTTGAATGTCTTTTTTTGATGTGCTTTTGAGGCCTTATTTCTCATCTACTACTGTAATTCTGTACTAAAAGTCTAGAGATATTCTCTCTTTCTCTGTTTTGATGCCAGCATGTATCAGATATAATTGCACATCAGTTAGGATACCAAATGATTGTTTTAGCCAGTAATGGAAATTACCTTCTTGTAACCAGCTTCACATGATGTACTTTGTTTCTTAAATGAATGCTGTTTCGACACAATGGTGTTTTCCCAAATGATATGCTCTTTTGATAATACTGTCGGAGTTTAGTTTCATTGCTCGATTCAATTTATGACGGGCGATGGGTGAGTTTTTGTGGGCATTCCTAATGGGATTATTCTGGACATGAGCACCCTCTTGAATATTGCCATCGATGTCGCTGAAGCTCTTACATACCTTCTCTATTTTTCTGGTAACTGTTATTTGACTTGGGATTTGAAAATGTGTATAAAGATATTTGACTCGGACTTCTCCCTTCTAGTATAGAGGAAATACCCACAGTGCAGCGGAGATACAAAGATGTTTAGTACTGGGGCATATGGTTGCACCGACAGTGTTTTCGCTACATATAGGATGAGGTTTGTGGGAAGTCGATACAGTCGATTCGGTTTCTTGTCAACAGTTGACTCATTCACAAGTTTTCTGCTATTTGATGTTTGCAGACAGGCCTATAATTCATAGAGGTGCGAAGTCTAGCAACATTTTACTCACTGATAGCTTTCGCGCTAAGGTTAACTATTCCGAAATTTCTCGATTCGGTCCCTGGCGAGAAGGTGCTACAATTGTTACTACGAGAATTATGGGGACCGTAGGGTATCTGGACCCAGAGTATTTTGCAACGTGTGAACTGAACGTGGAAATTGATGTATACTCTTTTGGGATATTGCTGCTCGAGCTTTTCAGAGGGAGGCGCCGTTTTGAGCTGGGATGAGCTACGCCTAGAGAGATGGGTAATTTTTCTTCCCTTTTGCACATTGTTGAATTTTTTGGATGGCAGATATTTTGAACTTCTCAATGTCATTCAGTGTGTCGTATACGTACTGACTCTGTTACGTGGTAGGTCTTGCATTTGCCACCCTGAAATTCAGAGTTGATCAGATATAAATATAATAAGCTCGATTAATGTAATAGTTCCTCAAGTGAAGCTTATTCACTTTAATTCGCAGAAAAACAAGCACCGTGGTATTTAGGAGAGTCCTTCCTTTATATTTATATATAAACATATATGTGTGTGTCTAGTTTTTGACCATCTCGGAACCTGTAGAATAGGTTACACCCTACCTGATCTAGAGTGCTGTTGGCCATACTACTTTTCCACCCGAAGCACGTTCCTTCCACAGTGTATGGTGCTTCTATTATAGTAAGAGCCTGATCCAGGTGAATATACGCCTGTTGTGTTTTCATTTCTTTAAGCGATTATTTTGGTCCTTCAGTATGTTGGTCTGCAGATTTAAATGCCCTTGGGCCCTTGTGCTCCCATCTCGTGTCCACTTTTAGATCCTGTTTATGCTCGCTTAACACAATAACCAACTCCCAGGTAAACGGTGTTAGAGTAAGGTTGGTCGCATGACTGGATCTAGACCTGGTTTGGATTATTCCATCAATGAACTTTTTAATGTCGTGATCACTTGCTGGTTTTTAGGTCAATCGATCTCTCTGAAACGTTTACGTTTTTTTTTTTTTTTTTTTTTTTTGTTTTTTCTCCTTCAGGCTTTCATAGAATATTTGGCGGGAAGGCTGAGGGATATTATTGATCCAAAGCTTCAGTTAACAGCTGCCCCTTAGTTGATTTTGGAGCGCGTATTTGAGCTTGCATTTTCATGTTTAGCACCTACGAAAGTTGATCGCCCTAACATAAGAGAGGCCAAGGAGATGTTATGGAGCATCAGAGAAGATATCAACTGAGTGTAGATCGACAACAGGAAGGTTTAGAGGCAGAGTCAGAATATGGTGTCTCTTAGAACAATGGCAGCCATACTCCCCGGGGGAGGTCGTCGCTATCATGGTACTCTCATGGAGATTCCGAGAGTATGAAGGCTCGGACAAGCAGGCGCCCAGAGGATAATCACAGAGGTTACTTGACCTGAGAAATATTTGAGAACCAACTGAATACAGGACTACGAGGATGAGGAGAGTCAGGTCAACAAAGAGGTCATGGGACATTGCGAGGATCCTCCTGGGGAATAGGGGGCGTTAAATGGTGGCTACGTTTCATCTTATATTCTCAATCGCTTCATATCCCCTGTCAGAGATATTCTGTGAACGGTACAGACTAGATACCTTGTTTTCTTTTTTCTTTTTTCTTTTTGTTTTGATTGGCACTGGCTGATTACTGTAATCCTAAAAGCAGGTCCATCGCTTACCTGTCGAATATTTTGTGTTATTGGAAACTTCAGAAAATCGTTTACGGCGACCACAGAAGGTCATGGCTCTCGGGGGCGACGGTTTGTGCCTCTGGGAGGGCTCAGACCCTTAACGCTTCATGAATTTGAAAATATCAACCTTGAGCTGTACATCTTTTGATCTCTTAAGTATCATGTTAACTAAATTGATTGTCATTGTTAACAAAGTAAGTCGGTCGCATCTATTGAAACTACTTTCTTTCCATGGTTGGAAGTTATGGTGCATTATAAGTTTTTTCCTGCTGTTGCAGGGTGACAGGGTGAGAATTCGTTGAAGGAGGTTCACCGTCAGGGTTCAGGCCAATTTTTCTTCTGATACTCTTGAGACTCAGATTCGTGCAGACGTTGGTAAGGAGTGAGCCTGTTCTGCTTGAAAAGACTGCCTCATTTTATTCGATGAGATTTGGCTGGAGTGTCGGCATTCAAAGCTGAGGTCCAGTCAGTTTGACAAGGTGACGGCATATCAGGAGTTACTGATATTGCTTTCAGATTCATGTACTGTAGGGTATCGAATAGTTTATGAGGAGCTCAAATTGACCAAAAGATGTTTCCAATGCTGTTTCATGTGCGTCTCTGAGGCCCGAGTTTGTGCACAGAAGCCGAAGTGGTAATATAGTTTTTCTCTTTTGTGCAATATACATCCCTAGTTATCTGAATTTCAACACATGCTCTTAAGCAACGTGGATCAATCAAAAATCGACCAGATATAGCTCCTTCAGCAGTTATGGTTTGAACGAATCTTAGAGATTTAGTTTGATCTTCGGGGTTTGCTAGTTTTGCTAAAGAAGCTTTGAAACGTTTCAACTTTTGACAAATGATTGTAATTTTTGAGCAGGGTGCGGATAACATTAGAAGATAATTGGTTATGGACGAAAATGTGTTTTTGAAATTATTTTAATTTTTATTTTCATCTCACATTTAATTCCACAATGGCATCATGAGCTGACCACATCTGAATGGCACCATTTTTCTCTGTTTACACGATTCACAATTCTTTTATTATTAAGTATGTACAGTGCTTCTTTGAACTTTTTCAAAAGACTTTGCAATCTCTTGAAACTCCTCAAAAGTTGAAACTCCTCAAAGCTTGTTGAAAGACTCTTTTGAGTAATGTTACATGTTCTTGCATGATGGCTTAGAAAAGAAATCAGATATCTACTTCAATACACAATAGTGAGAAGTTTTTTTGACTAACATCGATGAAATTTCATAACAATTTTGATTAAATAAAGCAATTACAAGTGGTCAGAAAGACCTGTTTGCTAAAAATTAATGATTTGTGGTTGAAAATTGTTTACGATAGATTAAAATAACATTTTAATATGTTGAGGAAAGTATTTTTTTTTTAACTAATTAGTTTGTGGGTGTGTTTTTTCTCTTCTTTTTTGGAATAAAAATCAATTGTAGTTTATTATTTTATTAAATTATTTGTAATAATCAAAAGATGAAACTATGATTTTAGAGTTTATAATAATATTAAAAGAATGATAAAATTGTAGACTTTATAGCCAACACATTCAACTTCAAAATACTTATTTTGAAGTTATCTTATTTTAACAACTAACATAATTCAATTAATTATTTATCTACCAAAAAGATTTCTTTTTTAATGAATGAAAAGAAAGAATTAATATTAAAGGTCTTTTGTACTTGATATGAATTCTCTTACAAAATATTAGGCTTTTAAATAATCTAATTATAGACAATATTTTTACTGGATTATCCAAAGAATATCTTCATCAAAAAATCTGAAATGGATCAAATTGGATCTTCATCAAAAAATGAAAACCATTCCTGATAATAGTTGTGTTGCAATTTCTTTCAATAAATAATATTATTTTGAAGTCATTTCCAAAGACCATGATATATAATCCATGCCCAGCTATGTTGCATTTTTAAAAATAGACCATTGCATTGAACATGCTGCCAAGGATCAAAAGCCAAAATAGTGATGCATAGTATATGTAATATAACCTTGAATTTAGTACATAAAATAATCCGGCAAGCAGTGCAATCAGATTCTAAATCGAAGTAAGCTCTGCATGTGCTATATAAAAAAATAAAAAGGCTTGCAAGCCACAGAGCAAATTTGAGTTCAAAGTTGGCAAAACAATAGACAATGTTGACTAAGTTACTTGTAAAAATTCAACTTCTACGCAAGTTTTTTGGAGGCTGACTCAGTTTAAATAATTGTTGTCTTGCTTGTTCGGTGTATTTTTAAAGGTATATAATTAGAGAAACTAATAAAAAATTCAGTAATATCTATGAAGAATTAACTACAACATTCTAAATATATATATATATATATATATATTTATATTTATGTACATATATATATGAAATATTTGATGAAGTGTTTAAGAGATTACCACAAACCTTTATTTTCATTGCTAAGAATGATTTCGAAATTTTAGAAACATTAATTTTAGATAATTCAGAAAAATATGTAATCATACAAAAATATGATTAATAATATAAAGTCATATTGCTAACATTTTATGTTCCAAAAAAATTGCTGCTAGTAAATTTTGTTTATCTTTTATTTAATGATAGAATTAAGAATGATTAAGTTTTAAAAGTTTTCTTTTTCAAAAGGATAAAGAGTATTTGATTTGATATAATATTAGTGAAAATAAATAAATTTTAAATAGATTCTTTAAAGTAATATTTTAACACAAAAATTAAATACTTAATACAATTCTAAGGGGGTCTTCATACCTATTAAACAAGGTGAGATGCCAAGTTATGGTAGCCATGAGTTGTTAATAAACAATGCATTTTCAATTTCATATTATTAAGCTTATTTTGTGTGACAGAAAAATTGTATTTATATATGTATATAGAAATAAAATTTTAAAAGAATAAATCCATAAAATAACCATTTAAATTTCTGAACAACAATATGACCATACTTTGTAAGATCATAAACATCTTTTTCCCAATAAAATAAAATTTGGAAATATTGTTGGGAAGAATTCTTAGAGAACATTCTGAAATTTCACTTTTTAAGAAAAGTAAGAATAGATTCAACTATGAATGTAGCATGATATTTTAACTTTTATACCTTGGTAGTACTTTATTATGTCGGAATTATCTTGCCGCAATTTGGCATTATCAACTTCATCTTCTTCATGTACTTTAAAAATTAAACTAGCTCTGTTAACTAATAATACATCTTATGTTCAATTTTTTTTTACTTTTGTTTTAGATTTAAAATTTAAAGAAAAAAAAAATGATATAGTCCAATACGAATTTCGTTTTGAGAAACAAATAAAAGTCATATTATTGAATATTTTCTCACACATAGATATATCACAAATCCCAACCGACCACGGTCTAGAGTGAAGGACCTATAATCGTGTAAGTAGCCTATAACCGTGCCAATAACCTAGTCTTCCCAGCACTGGAAAACGCAAACAAACAAACAGAAAAGAAATTTTTATTTTTAAAAATAACAATAATAATAAACACAATAGAAAATGAGTGGATAAATGAACGAGCTAATGCTCAAGCTTTCTCAGCAGTGCACTTGTTGCTGAAGAACTGGAACAATGGATCAGGACCCAGCTTCAAGATCACAGCCTTCAACTGTACAGTGTTACAGTGCCACTGCTTGGCTCTCGTGCTCTCTCCCCTCGTAATGCTGGCTAGACATTTCCTTTACTGTGACGCTTAATGAGAGTCTTGGTGTTGTATTCTGAAACGCTTCCTGGTTGTTGATTTGATGCACGCCTCCTCCTTGTCTGTTGTGTAGACCAGGCACTGTTAAGCTCATTTTTTGTCGTTGTGGATAGTCCCTCGGTGATTAATTGGGCGTTTAGGGTGGGAGCGGGAGAGGGTGGAGAAGCTGACAAAACTCCACTTACGGTGATGGTCTTGCAACAGTTATGACTGCTGACACCAATTGGAGCCGCGTTTAGGAACTGGAGCTAGTTTGTGCAGCCAGCATTGCGAGCGATCGGCTCCGACCGTTTGTCATTTACTGGGTGTTGACGTTTGTGGAAACACTAGCACCACAGTCGATTGGTTGGCAGTGTAAAGGCGTTAGGCTTCTGTGAGCTTGTTCAAGATGTTTGCAGCTCTCATTGAGCCTAATGAAAAGGGCCTCTGCGGTAAGCTGTTCCTCAGTGTGTCCATCAGGTTACATCGCCTTTTCACCTATCTTATTAAAGTTTGTGTTGTGAACCATTCAGTTCGTGGTCTTTGAGGTGCAGAGTACACCAAATGACAGTCTTGATCATAAAAATAATCGGCAGGCACATCCTTGTAACGTTCTCTGAGATCCAACAACGAGTAGGTTACGATATCCTGGCGTATTCTGTACACTCAAGCGTGTGTTGTGATACCCTCTGAATAGTCACAAGAACTTGGCTGGCTGTGCAGATTATGGGTATCGGTGTGTGAAGTTGCAAATTGGTTATTTCTACGTCCAAATAATTCCTTTTATTTCGAGGGATGGTTATTATCTTCACTGTTCGTGACATATTTAAGCAGGAGTGGAGTTCATCATACCTTGAAGGATTTCATCTGAAGCGTGAGGATCGTTCATGGTCAAAAGATGCATCTCAAAACGTTCCTCGCGGATGAAAATGAGGACACGAGGAATCTTTTCTCACTCTTCAAGTGAAAGGCTTTAATTTGAGTTTGCGACTTACATTGCCGTGAATAATGAGATTTGTGAGAAGCTCTCGGATTGACCTCGCACTTCAACTACATGTAAGAGTGGATGGAGAACGAGGAAACTGAGAATGATACCTGAGTGGAAAGAGCTTGTTACAAACTGAGGATTTTAAAATTAAACGAGAAGGCGGATGTTGGCTTTTCCGAAAATGAGGGAGCCCACCGGGGTCCCCCAGTGACCACTGTAGGTTCCATCCATAATTTTTGCGTCCTTACTTGGCGTAAACTAGTACCTAAATTTAGTAAACATACATTTTGTTTGGAGAAGTTGATGCATCATCCATGAAATTTGCACTTGAAACTTCAACTCCACCTACGTACACTAAACATGTGAAGACAAACTAAAAATACTCATAATTAATTGATTGTTGAGTGCATCTTCAAGCTACCATGCAAATCAATGGTATAGACCATATCCGCAGGAACAAAGATCACATAGAAGATAAATTAGTGTGCTGACGGGAAGCAACGTAACAGTATAGGCTTGCCAATTCGGTGATCTAAACCTAAGATTCTTGCACGATATCATCATCCTTCGACTTCATCTTACCAGAAAGCGCGTCTGTACAAGTATTCGTAACAATGTGCTAATAGAACACTGCGCCAATAACGCACCACAATCGTAGCACTGTGGTATGGGAATCAGCTTTACCTAACTCGGTCTCTACATTTCCTGGATCATCCGCGTAGGGTTTTCTCAACAGCAAAGTGCACTTCCGGATCATCCTTCAACACCGATCCCAATCATTGATGCACAATGAAGTGATGAATGTCATGGGGAATATCATGACAAAAAGACGACCTCCACGCCTTAGTTATCAGTTGCTCCAAGGTACAAAGGCAGCTGATCATAAAACCGTGAAATTTCCAAGCTTCTCAACTTGTTTCGTTCATACAACTGGATTGCTGGCATGCGTGGACGCAACCAAGTCTTCAACATAATCAGACAAAACTTGGTCATACAACTTTTTCAGCCGCTCCAGAGCCCTCTCCTTATCCCGCTCTGGCGCAATTTCTAGCTGGAAGTGAACTTCGATGAATCGCTGAAACCCACCTTCTGCATCAAACTGGAGCACACAAAGTTTCAGAGGGAAGTCAGCACAGCGAAAACATCCTTCTATACTTCACACCATTCACATTCCAAGAAATTGGCTCCTCATGAAGTCACTGAGGATCTTCCATCTAATGAGATCGAAAAGTAAGGCTTCCGGCTTTAAAGTAGATGAAAATTAACCAGTTCTACAGGAAAATACACTTTAGTTCCCACAACACCAAGACCTTCACAACACCCCGTATGTGCTGGAACAAAGCTACCTGAGCGCGCCCTCCTGCTTCAAAGGCTGCTTTTGCCAATCCACTAATGTCCACTTTGTGTCCAACCACCTGAGGCTTTCCTGTAGGCACGGGCTTTCCTTTCGCACGCAAATAATCGAATACCGTCTTCAAAGCGAACCGTTGATCCTCCATCACCATCATCTTCGAGGGAATCCGCTGCTCCTCACCACCAACATGCACTGCTCCTGTCACTTCATCAAAACTACGCCACATAATTTAGAGCATTACATACTGGTACTTGCTTTTCTACTGAAAACTGAGCCACCACCACTACAGCCGCCATCGTCATATTCAAATATAGTAAGACTCCACTTCAGCAAGGCAAAAATCATTCAACATAATGATCGCAGGTTTCTGCGCCTTTGTGGATTCAAAACAGGTATAAAACAGTTTGTTGAATGGCTTTCCAGGATTGGAAAAAGCTGTTGTCCCCGTCAACTTCAAGACAATCAGTTCAGAGTCTTACAAGGAAGCATCTGACCATGTTGGTCTTGGACTACTTCCACCATTCCTAGTTCACTATCCTGGTTCGCTGACCACCCAGGTTCGTATGCTTCCAGAAAAGCCTGCTTTGCTTTGTTAGGCAGGTCATGAGGGTGAACAAATGGAACACCCACAGGCCAATTCATCGCCTCTCGCAGGTGTCCACACGGACTCTGCGCTGCGTTCAGGTGCTGCTCCTCGCACTCCTTCAAGTTGCAGTATCGGATCTTCAGGCCCTTAGCGTCTGCAATCTCTTGAACTCGTTCCTTCAGTACACGCTGAGCTTCCAGCCGTAAACGTTTTGATGGAGCAAGTGGCTTCCCTCTAGACACTTGCTTCTTCCGCTTCATTGCTGCCTTCAATTGAGATGTAGCGGGAACAAAAACTGTCCACAAGTTTCACATAGATTTGCATCATCAGTACCGCGGAAGACAGAACTACATGCAGTAAGCGAGCAGCACCGACACATTGAAGCAACAGTGAGCAATCCCAAAGGATCACTACCACTGAGTTTGAATTGCAACAAGAAATGTACTAGTATTGTGCCTAAGACATAACCTTCATACAATACATAAAACACTTCCCTATGTTTTTGTGTCTGGTGAGAAACACCACTCTACTGTAACGAGTCACAACATTTCAGACAAACGAAGTCAAACAGATGCAGAATGGCACCTTCGACTGGAGCTGTAAATGAAAAGGTTGGAACACCAGGTCGAGCCAAAAGCTGATCCATGGTTTGAGTTCGTTGCATAAAATCATGGACAGCCACAGGATGCTGGAAAGGACTTCCTATAGCATGCCCTGCAGCAGTCATCGCCGAGCAATGCAAGATGGCAGTCGCACGGGGCATCAGTTTGAAAGCCACCGTGCAACGACCAAGATGTATTGAACCTTGTGCCTGACTAAGGTCCGCATTGTTGTCTGTTCGATGAAAAGACGGACTAAGGTACCCTCCAGTGGCTTGATACAGTGACGTTCCAGTGTACAAAATCATGTCCTGGGGACCCAAGTCTGCGTCTACAACAAACCACCGACCCTGTAGATCTCTTATCTGAAGGCCGGGCTTGTCAGACTTCATTAACGTCAGCAATCCTTTATCTGCGTCCTCTTCGTACAATTGAAGCGCCCCTTGCTCACTTGTCAATAAATTAGCTGGGTGGTGAGCTCCAGGCCTGCATATAATCAAAAGTTTCAATTCAATTCCACAAACCAAACGCCAGCCTTAATAACACAGTTTCACCAAACAATAGCACTCTGCTTTCATCGATAGCCAGAACATGACTAGACAGGAAGCAGGGAACCACGCCCCAATATGAGCTAAATGAAATCAGCATCCTACTTTGGAGGATAGTGTCTAGGTCAAGAACTAGACAGAAATGATAATTCACTGTATAACCACAGAAACAATTACATTTCCTTCAATAGTATGCATTCATCCCAGATTGCAGCTTAAGAGAGCGACGAAGAAACAAATCTTCTACACTGGGTTCCCAGCAGGACCGGCATCAGACCACATCAGATCCCCCTTGCTCCAATCACTAACTCTACATACCTGTTGTGACAGCAACTTGATAGCACTGAGGTAGCCATTTCCCCCGGCTTAAGAGGCATATTATCCAATAGATCTGTAAACGAAAAGCTCCGCATCTCCAGCGAGCAAGCAATAGCATCCAAGCAAACTCGGGTTGCATTTCCCAATATGGCAAATAGCTCAGGCAAGCCCGTAGGAGGCAGCTCGGTTACAACTGCCCCTTCCACATTCATCCTCCCAGGTCGGTAATCAAACACCTCGCGAAAATGTTGTGGTTCCGCATAATAACCAGCTGTACGATTCCAGTTCTGAGGGTCTTCCGCGCGAACGTTATCTGCACCAACCATCGGCTTCGAGTGGAAGAACATACGAACTGAATCCAATACACATCGCAGCAGCACGTCATCAGGCTGAGGGACTTGGATGATGGCCGCATTGAAGTTTCGGAGAGACTGGGACAAACTTGCCACAGCAATCTTATAATCCTGCGATGAAAGCCCATCGATAGCGACCAGATCCTTCAGCTTGATACGGGCTGGAGATGTAACGCCCGCTGCTGCCATGGCGCCCATGCAATCTCAAAGCGTTATCACCATAGGATACTTCAAGTTGCCCTCACCACACATGCTCATCGTGATGTGCACACTCGATCATAAACAAAATTCTCTCTTTTATACCGTTTTTTGTGGCAGATCTATTCGGTTACGGATATGAATTCTGTACTTTTCGGATGACTAAAGCAAGAATATACCGAAAAACTAAAACAAAAGAAAGTGAAATAAAAATTCCGCGAACACTTTTCGAGTGCCTCTACATCTTCTTCGAAAATCTAGCGCCCTTCTACAGAAACAGGAGGAGGAAACTTGAAGGTTTGAAAGAAGTACTACAGGGGTGGCTGCAAGGTAGAAAAGAAGACCCAACATGCACCGCAGGCTGAAAGGCAGAGCTGAAGTTGTCAAGATTGAAGAGAAGAAAGAGCGTATAGATAGTACCACTCGAATATCGTGACTTTGACACTCAAATACTTACTAGAATCTCCAGCACTAAGCTTTAACGATCACCCAGCACCCTGTCGTCTAGCCTGCACCGTGATGCTTCCACCACCCATCCCGAACTTGAATCGCTTGGCAAAGAAACCCACAAATCTCCTTGATCTTGGACAAAACAATACGTTCTCCGCAAAAAGCAACCAAGACGAATCTTGTCGCATTATTGCAACGCCCCTATGTGATGAGTACCCTTTGGCTTCCGAGCAGCCATCTAACGGAGCAACAATCTTGTTTCACTTCACTGCTCCCACTCCTCCAAAACCTTCAATTACGCAGACCTAAATAATTGTACTCTAATGATCACTTAAACCCACCAACCCCACTTACAAAGGAAATCATTTCACCACCACAACCAGACAAGTGTTCCTCTCCTTCCCTCGCTGCCACAGTAACACGTCCAACTCACACGCCCTTCAGTCTCTCTCGCTCTCCATCGCCCTCGGGAAGGGGGAAGGAAATAAAGAAACGACCGAACAGCCCGCGTGCGACCTGGAACCGCAATCGCCCGCAACACCCAAACACCCGAACGGCTGAATCAATTCCCTCACCCTCGCGGTCGCTGTCCGATTCCGATGGCCCCTGTCCGTGGCTCACAGGGGGGAGCAGGCCAGGGCAGAAACCGTGCCTTCCAAATCAGCACGCCTCTCGCGCATCCCTCTGCGCTGCCCGCTTCTCAAAATACAACCTTCCCAGCGCCGCCCTTTTTTCATACGAGGTGCGCTTTTTCCGACCCTCTTGCCAGATTCCTCTTCTGCCGCCAGTGCCCGCTCAAACTCCCAGAAATCCCGTCCCCCTCACTCACGCACGCACTCTCTCTCTCTCTCTCTCTCTCTCTCCCTCTCTCTCTCCAGTCCTCCGCCGCGGTATCGACCTCCACCCACACAACCCAACAAAATAAATAAATAAATAAATAAATAGATGAAAAAGCACAGTCTGTGCCATTAAATTCTTCGGGCCAGGGCTGGCAGCGATGGATATGGCGGGCAGGCCAGCTCCACGCCACCCAATCCGAAGTTGACCTCCTGGTCTCTCCGATGGGGATCATCGGACGACCACCAGCGTCGCACGCCGTACTGGGGATGAAGAAGAAGAAACCCAAAACCAAAGCCAGAGAGAGAGAGAGAGAGGCAGGGCGTGGAACGAAGGGAAGGGAAAGGGGAAAGGGAATGAGATCCACCGCAGCAGCAGGTGGTGCTGGGACTGGCATGTGCCGGCGTCACTCACTCTCTCTCGCTGTCACAACTTCCTCGTTTGAGGGGTGTGGTGTTGATGGTTCGAAGGGCGTCGTGTCCCCGTTCTCACCGGGGCTACCCTCTTTCATCCATACGCTCATTCACTCGTTCACCTCGCCGTCCCCCCCCCCTTCTCTCTCTCTCTCTCTCTCTTTCTGTTCATCCTGGCTGTCTGGCTGTCTGGCTGAGTTCATATACGCTTGTGTGCTGGTGCTACTGAGCAGAGTGTCTTTGCTGATACGTGGTAAACAGAATTCATCTTCTGCTGCGTATCGTTTTCATCGGGATACGGTAATAGATACAGCTTGCTTGCTTGGGTCTGGTTATCATAAGAATGTATTACAAATAAATGATGGAGAATCGCTGGCGTAAGGGATAAACGATAGTACTCTGCAACACCTATGTATGTATGTATGTATATGTATATGTATATGTGTATGTATTGAAAACTTCTTGTTGATGGCAGGATTTCGATGGGTATACATGATTATATATATACATATATATATATATATATATATATGTGTGTGTGTGTGTATGTGTGTGTGTTGATAAGTGTGAGATTTTTTTCTAAAGATTGTACATTGATCTTATTTGTCTTATATATCTATAAGAAAACTTGGTATGATTTCAAGTTTAGAATATCACACATGATTTGTTTTCTGTGTGAAGTTTTGGTCCACAACTAACAATAGAATCAGTGAGAATAAAGAGTAATACATGTCCATTACTGCGTTTTTTTTAACAAAATTGATGTTGCCGAGGTGGAATGGACATGGTTTCTTTCTAAAATAGCAAGCTGATATTGGTTTTATTTAAATGTAGTAGAAAAAAATAAAAAATAATAAAAAATAACACTTTATTAACAATCTGATAAGATATAAATATTTGATTTCATATTCTTAATTGCCTATACTTGTAATGTTCGAACAAAATTAGAGTATTAAGATAATATTATCCCAGATGCAAGGATATATACATAGACAAGGTAACATCAAATTATTCAAAATTCTGATCAAAATCATGTGGAAAATCATAAAAGTAATATCACTAATAAATGACTACCAAAGCACTTTATAAAAAAATTGAAACTGATAATTATTATTCTGATTATGACATGACTTTATTATTATTTTAAAGATTATTCAATATCAATTATAATATTAAATTGAGATATTTTATGATGTTTTTTTTTTTTTAATGTTACAGAAATTTTCTATTATTTCCGTTCTTTTTTATTTATTTTTTTAATGTAAATGTACCACTATTGTTTTTGAATCAAACTGCATCTCCATGTTCAAATTCTTTAATTATATTTTACAATTACTGAAATAGGTATCCAACTCAAGGAGTAATGATTCTAATTTCTAGATCAATGTTTTATTTAAGCCATTAATACAAAAAATTGGGCAGTTGTCAAGAAATCTTGAGATGAAGCCAAAATATGCATTGAAACTTGGGTCAGCCCATTCCATTCAATTCAGTTGAACTAAAGTAAATCAAGAGTTTTATACAATAAATGCCACAAAAGCACAGAACGTTTTAGTGAAAAATACATGCCACAACCTGCAACTAGAAAGTATCACACCTACACATATTCAAATAAAGACATAAAACTGGGAATCAAAAATCCTAGACAATTTTTACTTTAATTATAACTTTTTGAGCGTTGTCATAAAGGGAGAAATCCACTTGCCAAGTCAGTGTGAAAAGCACTTTAAACGCAGTGCCGCTTTAGAAGGGGGATTATGACGGGAGTGATGGAGATGCGGCAGATTCTGTTTGGAATCATGCCCCTGAACGGTCCAGCCATCAACGCGGCGTCGAACCTCGCTGCACGCATCTCATGCTCAATCGCGTCACTCCGCACCCGTCGCCCACTATCTCGCGCTCCAGGCCGCGACACATATCCCACGCAAATCCACAGCGCCTCGCTGCCGCTGCTGCGTCGTCTAGGTTTCGCTACCTCTTCGTGCCAATTTTGCCGCATCTCATGGGAGCTCTGGCAATTGCTCGTCGCAAGCAGGGAAGGGGTCGATGCGTTGCGCGCCTTTCTTCCTCTTGCTGCTGGCTGCCGGTGAGTTGTTGCTCTTCACATTTGTCAGTTTAGTGGTCAGGATCTGAATTCAGCGGATGGGAAATGATCTGGGAGATTGGTTTCGCGAGGACGCTTACTGGGCTCTCTCGCATGTTTGTCCGAAGGGAGGAATGCGACCCATGTGAGAGACGTGGGTTGTTGTGAGTGAGTGAGTGAGTGCGTGAGGGAGCGGAATGCGGTGAATGTCGAAGCAACAGGGTGAGAAGATGGTTTGGATCTCTGCTTCGTTGTACTTCGTGTCCCGTCATGGTGCTGTACGCCTGATTAGCTGCTGTACAACTGATGCCGGAGTTGACCCTGTAGGTTTTCTGGTCGTCGAAATTAGGAGATAGGAGGCTTGGCGGATGGTTCCCCTCCTTGCATTGCGGCGCATTAGAATGTCGTTCAGGCGAGGCCTGTCGCTGTTGTAGCGTGGGTGCGTCATTGCTCATGTGGGCCGGGCGGTCGGTTTCAGCGTGAGAGTGCAAGGGCGCGTTTTTTCGGTACTTAATGTCTCTGGATCAAGCTGATGATTCGCTTGGTTTGTAATCATTTTAACGCCGAGGTCGAGTATGTAGGGAATTTTGGCCAGTATTCATTCAAGAGTGATGAACTTCGAAAGCTAGACACTGTTTGCTTCAAGATTCATATATCACTTTGGGTTTTGAAGCAGATAAGTGGGCATTTTTATTTACAGATTATGTAATGTTAAAGAAAGTTCCGAGGGTTTGTTTCGAGATATGTCAGGGTTTCACTTTTCTGTGTTTGAATTTTGAATGTGGTCATGGCTTCAAGCTTTTAGCGCTACGTTTAGCCGTGAGGAGATCAAAAGAAGCTTTCTTGCGTCATTTCACTCGTTAGGTAGAATGGGTAGGAAATGAAAGAGTTGAAAGAATTTTGTAAATGAGAATCGCAGCTTACGAGATGGCAGAAGTTCTAGACGCTGAGTTGAAGTTTGAATTGCCGAATGGACTTCCACAAGCGTTTTCTTCTAGCTTCATTAGAGCTTTGTTTCGTCTTGTACGATTGACAATCTCAAACATTCATGTATCTCAACACGGCAGTTACTTCTATTCCTTACGGAGGTGTGATTACACACAGTTTCCTGCGTTCGTGTAGAAATTATTGTCAGTTGTTCATCCATTCGCTCATTTCTATTTAATGGCAATACTTCTGAGTGCTGACATCCCTTCATCTCAAAAAACTATCTTTATTGGTTGAATATCTATTTAGTGTATCGTTGAACTTTCCTCGATTCTTGGTTTGACTGAGCAATTATTGGTAAGTAACTGATACTTGACTTTTTGAATTGGAGCTAAAAGTATATATCATGCATTTTTAGAGGCAACCTTAAGTACGTCGAAGTGTCTGACGGCTGTGTCCGTTTTATTGGCCGTACTCATTCGTTACAGAATTCGCTTGGAGTCTATCCACATCAGAATATAATCGAACTATATCTTTACAATCCCCAGTATGGTTTAGGAAAAAGTATTGTAGGTGGTATGAATGAAGTTGTTACTTCTGGATTCAGTGTTGGCTTTTGGGCATTTCATCCAATATCTACTTCTTTGTTACTGGTTGTGGTGTATTTATTATGTTGAGGGATGTTGGTTGTGAGATAATGAACTGCTCTGATGATTTCCGAGTTATAGATGTGCCGTACTATTATGATAGCCTCCTGACATCCTTTGTCATGTCAAGTTCTAATTGCAGTAATTTGTTGTGATTCGTGGACAGATTCCAGGGATTGTAAGAGTGTGAGATAATGTTTCTCTCATAATTAGGCGACACAATCCTAGGCATTAGAGGCTGGAAACGCTTAAAATGTGTAAGCTTGAGGCTTGAATATCAACCAGCTGTGTTCTACAGCACGACATGTCCACCACTTTTAGTAATGCAAAGCTCTATGGCTCTACTGTCTCCTGTTTTACGACCATCAAAATAACTCTCATTTGACCTACGCCAGCATGGTGATGGAGCCTTCCTTGCCAGCGGTTTTACCGGCCCGTAACGAGAATAGATTAGCGAGTTCTGCAAGGGATAGCCAACGTGCGAATCAAAGTTCTTCAAGCAAGGTACTCAAACCCAAGTCGGGTCTCATCAAGAAGTCACCAGACTTGGCCCCAAAAGCTAGTACGTTGAGCCAAACAAAAGTTGATACCGTCAAGAGATCTGTCACCAAATTACCTCATCATGCACTTGAAAAGTCTCAATCTGGTGGACCCGAGAGACCAAGAAAGAGCACTACAGAGAAGCCCAGGATTGCTACCACGGCAAATAGTAGGAACAAGGAAAAGCAAGAATTGGAGGCCCTTGTGAGGAAACTGTCAAATCCTACTCTTGGTACTAATCGTTCTCCGGTGGTGCAAGCGCATGAGAGGGGTGAAGCAAAACCTGCGACAAGGGCCAATGACAAGACTCCAGACGCCGAATCACTACCTTCACAAAGTGATACAAAAGAGCTAGCTCCTCCGCAGGAATCTGTAAGTCCAAAACTAGAAAATCCCCGCCTTAATCCTCAGGAGTCTCAAGCTACTACCCAAGAGGTCCCGACTGCACGGAAAAGCAGGAACATGATTCCCATAAGGAGGGAAAGCAGTGCAAACGTTAGTGATGCTGGAAGTGAAGATATCAGTACAAACGTACCAGAAACACCATCTAAAGTGATGCCCTTGATGACGGTAGCTGCAATTGATGCTATGATGAATGATGAATCACAGAACTCCAACATGAATTTAGGTCCTTATCTAATCAAGCTGACCAAGTTGTATTCTATAGAAGAGGACCAATCCAAAGCAGTTGAATACGGTATTAGAGCAGTTAGGTTCTACGAGAAGCAAGCTGACGATGGACAACTTAGCTTGGAATTCATTGCTGCTCTCCAGATATTGGCAGCATTGTATGCTAGGCTGGGCAACTTCGATGAGGCCATCCCCTTGCTGGAAAGATCAGTGGTCATTCCTGTTACAGGAGAAAGTGAGGATCATGCTTTGGCAAAGTTTTCTGGCTATATGCAGCTCGGAGACTCATACAACCTGCTCGGAAAGCAAAGTCCTGCATTAGATTCGTATCATCGTGCCCTTAGGGTGCAGAAGGCCATGCTTGGAGATTTGGATTCTCGAGTTGGTGAAACATGTCACTACATTGCTGAAGCTCACTTACAGGTTGGTTTATCTCATCCAGGTGGTTACAGTTGATCAATTTGGTCAAAGTAAGTTTTCTTATGGAGTGTGTCGTATGTCCATGACGAGGGCGGATTCTTAGCAGAAAGTTGTGTACCTTTCGTGCAGGCATTGGATTTCGACAAAGCCGAGGCTTTGTGTGAACATGCGCTTTCCATTCATAAAGAACATGGTGAGGAGAGCTCCTTGGAAGAAGCAGCGGATAGGCGCCTTTTGGCACTAGTCTTGAGTGCTAAGGGGAATAATGAAAAGTCGTTGGAGAATTTGACGATTGCTTTGTCGATCCTACAAGAACACAATTTGGAGGTATATTATTACACCATTAAGATGTAGAGGTGTTACGATAGAGGATTCGGTTCTTATTTGTCTGCCTAGTTTCTGGTCCTAGAAATTCTGAGAGAAGTAGCCAGGTGCGACTTGCATCTGAAGTGACCGAGCGAAGATGCCTGTTCTTGTCATGTTACCTCGTTCTGAACTGTTTTTAATTTCGATGTCAGTAGAATATTACCGTTATCCAAAATGGATGCAGGCTAATAAATTTGTCTGCTCTCTCTTTAATTTGATGAACTTACTAGCTTGTTACAGGATCAAATTTCAACCTGAAGTCATGCTAGTATATATGGTAACTCTTTTACTTATGATAATAGTGACCGTCAGGTAGCGTCTCCTTATATGTTTTGGGCGTACATTCAATCATTATATGCCAGTTATATTAATGCTGTGTTCTACCCTATTTGGAATCTAGCTCGATGCTGCAGCAGTGAATCTGAGCATTGGTGATGAACTGCTTGCGCTCGGTCGGAATGCTGAGGCAGTTAATGTATACCAGAAAGCTATTACGATGTTCAAGGCTCTCAAAGGCGACAATCACACATCAGTGGCTGGGTGTTATGTTAGTCTTGCTGAGCTTTATGTGAAGACCAACAAGTTCCGGGAGGCCAAGTCGTATTGCGAAAATGCTCTACACATCTACGGAAAGCAGGGAGTAGGTAACAATCCCAATGACACTGCAAGTGGACTGTCTGATGTGGCGGCCGTATATGAGATCATGAATGAGAAGGACACGTCCCTTGTGCTCCTCCAGCGGGCCCTTACCATCCAGGAGTGTCTTCCAGGTTAAACTCATTCTCCACCATTATATTATTGAAACAGTGAATCATGTAATTTTCACTGTGCTGTATCCTGTTTATCAATCCACTTGGTAAGCGATTTTCTTGTCTAATTTTAATAGGCTATATGCAGGTCAGCCAGCTGCAGTGGGTGGCCTTGAAGGACAAATAGGAATTCTGTACTACATGATGGAGAAATTTGAGGCCGCGTTGGACGCTTTCAAGAGAGCGGTTTGCAAGTTGCGAGATGGGGGTTTAGAAAAGACGTCTCTGTTAGGCATGCTCTTGAACCAAATGGGCATTACATGCGTCGAGCTTGGCGATATCGAGCAGGCCACCGAGTTGTTTGAAAATTCTCGGAGTATTTTAGAGGACACTTGCGGCTCCTATCATCTGGACACTTTGGATGTGTGCACTAACCTTGCTGGCACCTACGATGCACTCGGAAGGTGATGTTATGGACAGACTCACTGTTCCTGTGTCAATTTATGAACAGATGTGTCATGTGGCGAGCTCTCTTGTGGGCATTTTGAACTTCACTCGGTCATTGTATATGCAGATTAGCATGGTTTTATAATGAAATTCAAGTAAATTAATGGTTAGGATCACGATTTTGACAATGATTGTAGCTCTTGATTAGCATAAGCTTCAAGCCTACACGGCACGAAGAACTGAATCATTTTACAGCTTTCTTTCACCTTGGGTGAACTATTGAGTATGCATCTTGTACATAGATTGGTTATGTCAGGCGTTTGACGGTTCAACGTTTGATGCAGATTGGATGAGGCCACTCAGCTTTTGGAAGATATTGTACAAGCCAAGGAAGAAAAGCTAGGCACCGTTCACCCAGACGTGCATGACGATCGAGAACGGCTGCAGGAGCTGCTCAAGGATGTTGGGCGAACCTATACACCTAAATCACGCAGACTCGAAGAATTGCTCTTAACTGCTAGGAAAGAGAATCGTAAAAGGTGAAGACTCTTGAATTCAATCTGGTTTCCAACATTGCAACCTGCAATAAAGTCGAGTGATGTGTGCTCATGTTTTCAGGGAGACTTCTTCATTCTCTGCTTCATGAGAATTGAACCATGTACGATGTCAAGCGAAAGAAAGCTTCTCAACCTAGAGTAGACTAGCTCGGTTAAGACCTTTTTGTCTGATTTACAGAGTCGTAGGATTGCAAGAGGGTGATTGAGGTTTAACGAATGCATTGTATACATTTCTGTTCTTAAATTTCTGTAGATGATTTTTTCATTCTTCGTATATTTTTTGTACCTCGGAATTTTTTAAATATTCTGTCCCCGTCATGAAAATCGTTTTTTTTAATACCTTTCTGGTTCGGCAACGTGAAGGAATTGTACTGCAGTACCTTTGCATGTTGTACCCTCAGATGTGGAGAGTTTACTAGCCGTTCTTCATCTGTCAGTTCTTGACACATAAGCAGGCATCCGAATAGATGAGGCCATTAGTATGGCTATGAAAATGACTTTGTTACCTTCTCCTATGTATTTATCCTCTTTTTTTTTTCTTTTTTGTTTTTTTCCCTTCCCCTTTGAAGATGGACTTATTCCACACCATCTAAACTTGCACGCCTTTGTAATGAACTTTGTTTTTCCCTTGTATTATTTTTTGTTCATCTTGTACAGTAGTTTTGTGCAGTACTTCAACACTAATCAATGACGTGTGCGGTTTTTTCACACCAATATCATGTCCTTAAGACTTGTGGACCCTTGTGTACATTCCTGGACACCCATTTCATCACCGACAAGGCTGGAAAAATGTTCGACTATTCACTATTTATGAACATAAGAGCTTTCAATTTTCAGGACATAAGAGTAGTAAAGTGTCCTTCAAATGCAGCAGAATCACTGTCCAACGGACAATTAACTGGAAAGTGAGTGTAATGTAACGTTTAGCATTTGTCTCGGCGATCTGCAGGCGAGCTATTATACTGGTTCTTTCACTTCCTCTGACAAAACATAGAAGTCTGCACTCCATTTCCTAAGTTCCAAAACACTTTTTGGTGCAGCTCATTTGTATTCCAACCACAACTACAGTCTCACTACGTGGGTGTTGGCATCTTACGCAGCTATCTTACAACAGTGCTGGTGCCGCGTCTCCTCAAGTAGGAATAGAACTAGTGTGTCAACAACAGTCACTACGCTACACACAGCTGTCACTAACTATTTTCTCACCCAAATTAACCAATCCTCAAAACCTCATTCGTATTTTTGATATGGAAAGAATGGCTAAAATGAGTCCTCAGTTTTGTATAAAGTTTTTTTTTTGAAGAAGAAATAAAAAAAAAAAAAAAAAAAAAAAAAAAAAACAGACATAATGCTTTATGTTAGTACAGTGACTAAATGACAAGTTATCACAAATGATGTGGATGTATTCCTTTTTCAGCAAGCTACAACTGATGATTTGGCGTGTAGCATATGGCACGGTCTTGCAGGGTACAAAGGGGGAGAACACATTTTCTTCCCACAGAATACGCACATTGGGTTTTCATCGTCGTGCCACGGTGAGAAAGAATCACCGCCAAGACGCGTGCGGAGTCGGCAAAAAGAGCTCCAGAACTTCTGCTTCCACGTACTCAACAGCCTGATGCGTGTGACCATCTTACCCGTCAGCACAATCCACCTGGATCCACCCCCAGTGTGGGTGCGTGTCGATCGATTCCCGAGCTTGACGAATTCCTTCCATTCAATGCATCGCTGTCATTCAAACCATTGTCATCAAATGTGGAGTTCGCCCACCCTGAGCCGGCCGTTGAATCGTTGCGTTTTGAATCAGGGTGTGGAGGCCCCCTTCCGGGCCCCAGATGTGCCGTTGCTCGTGAGGAGGATCTGTGGGACGAGCGTTGGAGTTTAGGTTACGAAAGCTCGGAACAGAGTTCAGGAATATTCACAATTTTCTGGGATTTTGCCCATCTTTTGGTGAAGAATTTTGAGGTGTTTGGGGATTGTGGGTTGTTGAGATGAAGGAGGGTGAGGAGGAGATGGTGGCTCCAACTGCCCCTGCGCCAGCGCCATCGGCAGATCGGAAAACGCAGAGAGGGATGGGGAGTAGGATTTGGGGCCTCATGGGGTCGCTGTTCTCAAGGGGGAATAAAAATGATTTCGAGAAGAAGTTGCAGCACTTGTCTAAGGAGGAGGTTACTGTCCATACTCGCTTGAAGCGGCGGACGCAGAGATGGCGGAAGCTTGCCAGAGTGATGATCATCTACTCTGTCATTGGTGAGGTAAGGCTTTGCCCCGTTTTGGGGGCTTTGAGATCGTCATTTAAGCTCGAATTGACATCTTCATGTGTCTGTGGAGGAACGTCTTTGCTGTTTTTTCTAAATAATTTTCGAGTGAAGTATTCAAGTTGATTCGTCGCGTGCCTTCTCAGGTTCATGAAGTCATGAACGTGTTAAGTGGTGGCATTCCTATTTTCTAATTTTGTGTAGATTCTAAGTGCTCCCTGAATTAGCTCACTTCATTAGCGAAGATTTTTAGTTTCCCATTTCTTTTCATTTCTCAATTGCGAGCTACTTCATCACAATGTTAGGGTGGAACAGTGGCTGCATATGTTGCGAAGTGCTGACTGTTGTAATTCTGCTGTCAGGCTCTAGCGTTGGGGTTCGCGATCCTGTCAAACAGGACTGCTGATCTGCCGTGGAATGTTCGCGCTATTCGAGCCCTCCCAGTTTTTGCTTCGCCCGTCATCGTTGCTCTACTATATTCCACCTGCGCAGGATATCACCGGATGAGTAATACTCTGTCCTCTTGGCAATTTTCAATCCTCAATTAGGTCCTTCAACTTTGTATTAAACTAAGTTCATCTTACCTCTTGCCTTGAATGGTCAACCTGAAGTAGACTTTTGATGGAGCTTGTAACAGTGGAGCGGAAGGATAACGACCGACTTGAGCGATTGAAGGCGGAACGCCAAGAAAAGATAAATGAGTTGAAAGAAAGGACTAACTATTACATCACACAGCAACTCATCCAGGTGATTGCATTCCTCAAACACACAGCTGGCGGTGAACCTTATTTCTGAAACCGACATCCAAGTCTGGGTCTATGTGTCCTTGCTATGTGCAGTGTACTTTTCCGCCTCACAGATAAAGTAATCAGTAGGTAGAATAACGATGTTCTGTTAACTTATCCAATTTTTTTGCAAGCAAGGTTTGATATTCTAGAGGGACCACGTGTTCCGTTATTGGTGTGAATTTATGCTATGTTTTACTGAATTCAGGGTTTTACATGGTTGTTCTGTTGCTCCGGAAGCACGTTAGCTTTCTTTTAATTGTCACTAACTAGTCCAGTGTGGGCGAACAGCAATATGACCCTGATCCAGCTTCAAAAGCAGCAGCAGCAAGTATCCTTGCATCCAAATTAGGTGCCGAGTCTGGCCTCAAGCTAGCTTTGGCTGCAGGTCTTACCAGCACCGAGGATTTAGATGCTCAAAGGAAGAGTCAAGGGGCCCCTAATCAACAGGGTAATAGATTGGATGGAGAGGTTATGCATCCCACAGGATTGCGGAATCGAAGGTCTCAACACCGTAGCCAGGTTGCTGGACCAGATGCTTCTCAAGGAATGTCTCAAATGGAGGCGTTTTCTCGGGAGAATAATATACCAGGGGATATGGGACGCGCCTCTGAGGTGTGGGAGGAGCAAGGAATGGATGTGAGGGGACCTCCTCGCAATCCTTCCAATGGAGGCTGGATCGCAAGGTTGGCTGCAATGCTTGTTGGCGAAGACCCCACTCAATGTTATGCGCTCATCTGCAAACGGTGCCACGCACACAATGGTGAGTCGACTCTTCCTTTTTGAGTTATCGATGAACATTATGCATATAAAAAAACTACTCAAGTGAAATGGGAAGTAAACAAATTCTTGTAGTTATTTTGCAGATGCATGTCGCTGATTGACATCCTTTAATGTTCCAGGTCTTGCTAAGAAAGAGGACTATAAGTATATCCAGTACTATTGCCCACACTGCCAGACATTGAACGGTATGCGATCGCCTGGAGATGGACTTTCACTTACCGACGAACCAGCCGAAACATCTCCCAAACCGGAGGAAACAAAAGCCACGTCAACTGTCGATGGCGAAAGGCCAGATATCTCCGACAGTGCAGCACCTGCCCTCATATCGCAGATCATTTCTGGTGAGCTGGATCAATCTCACAGTTCAAATGAAAGCAGCTAGACCCAAGGACTTTTTAGATTTCCGTACAGTAAGTAAAGAGTTTCACTTGCGAAGTTTGCAGGCTAGGTGTTTGATGTAAATTTAGCCATGATGCTTCCAAGTCGATTAGGCATGTCTTATGCCACCTGCATTTGAGCCGAGACTCGAATGTTTAGACTAGGTTAGTCCATGTGTGTTGTGATAGGGATCTGGTCTTAAATCCATCCTTGAGAGACAGTAAATGCATCGAGGTACAGCTGTGACTAAGCCTTGCTCAAATCCTAGTAAGATCCGTCTAGTGCTCTGAACACACATCGCTGCCCATTTCATCCTGTGACCCAAGGAGTTTTTAGATTTCAACAATCCTAGAGAAGGTCCGTTTCACAACCTAGATTCTGCTCACGAACATGTGCAGCAGAGGTTGCGAGTATTGGAAGGCACCCTGTGGGCTTGAATTCTTATCTTGCAAACGTAGTAGTAAAATGCCCAGTATGGTATTCAACCGGTGTATCACACTGTGGACGACTTATAAGCGTGTAAGCAGTGTATCATGTCATTTCTGGTTGTTGGTGCCCCTGTTGTATATCGACCGTATACTTCTGTTTGTGCTTTGAAGAACAACATTACCTTGTACTGTTGGTCCGTTAAAGAATAATTGCAGTGGTCAGATAATTATCTAGATGTACATTAGAATGGTTTACATGGTTGCTTATACAACTATTAGTGTAGGGTGTTGCTAATGCTACTGCAATTTTTTCTTATATCTTTTAACTATTTTTTATTGAGATTAATTTACTTTTGACATGGATTTGGAAAGAGAAATAAAAAGAAAAAATATATTAAAAATATTAATAGAACTTTTTATTTGAATAAAAAGATTTAAAGAAATATATTGAGTGGTTGTAGCTCAACTAATTGTAGAAGCACTAGAAGTACCTTATTTATTTATATATATATATATATATATATGCAAGATTTTTTAATTTTCTATCTTAATTACTTTATTTTGATTTTATTGTTGACAAACTTAGATAAACTTGTAACCATGGAGATATTCACAAGTGTGTTAGATTTCTTTTGAAAGGTATTGTTGAACTAACTTAAGGTAAATATTCTTTCCTTTCTATTGTATTGACTTTGTATAATAAATGATGATGAAGACAAAGAGCATAAATCTCAAAATCATTCTTTGAAGCACTCAATTTGCATGAATATGCTAAAAGATTGTTTACATACATGTGTAATTCTTATTAGACATTACATGATTATTTATATGAATGGTTAAAGTTGCATTATTAATTGACAACTGGTAACCACCACATTAGTTGGAAGTCATATAGTTATTATCACCTACCAAATTATCATGCGGCCTAATAAGACAAGTGTCTAGATTTCAATTGGACATCATTGGCTAAGCTAGTTTTTAGTGTGTTCGCACTAGAAAGTCCATGTCAATAGATCACAAACTTATAGTAAAAGAATTAAAATTCAAGGCTTATTTAAGGTAATTAGTTCTTTTGAATCCTCGATGGTTGGATAGTGAGCTCATATGTATTTCAAATCAATATACTTCTATTCTATAGCAATATATACCTTATTTTTTTTGACAAACTATTAGAATTGGATTTATTAGTTTAAACTTCCTACTTTGCTTCACCTTTATATTCACTATCTATAAATTTTTTATTATTGTGAGGCTTATTGACAACAATAAATAATAAGCCAATATTAACATCATGCCACATTAGTGTTTCAAAAATGCAAAGTATTTGTAACTTAAACTTCAATGGTTTGATATATTAATGATTACAAGTTATATATATATATATATATATATATATATATATATATATATATATATACATATACATATACAAAAATACAAAAGTAGATACAATTCAATATACAAATAATACAAATAAATTACATGGATTTTATTATAAAATTCTTTGAAATATAAAATGTAAAAGAAAATAATAATATGTATAATATTCTAAGAATTTTTCTAAGTTTATAGTATTTCTACTTATTTTATATAATTTATGTTTTTTATCATTATTTTTAAATATTAAATATTATAATATTATACAAGTATATATCTATAATATAATATCATTTGAATAAATAATTCTAATATATTTTAGAAAACATATTGAGATAGAATTACATTAAATGGAATTTATTAAATCTAAAGTCTAATAGATATATATATATATATATATATTTATATATATATAGATATATATTTTACATTATACAATAATTAGATTTAAGTTTTATTACTTATTATTGCAAAAATATATTTTTCTACAAGTGTTATTACTAAAATTAAAAAGAATAATTTTATAATAATAATAAAATGTTATTAGAATAAAACCTAATTGCCTCTTATGGTTTTATATTATCAGTTTGTTTTAATAACATAATTTGTAAGTATTTTTGTCATTTAGTTTTTATTAAATGCACGATTAATACTATCATTAGTCTTATAATATATTTTTTTATGCTCCAACTTTGATTCAAGATCTTTTAATTGCTTGTCTTTAGTAAGAACCTTTCTATTACATTTTTATCTTTTTCTTATGAAAATTAGACATGTTATTTGATAACAAAAATCTATTACTGTACTTGAGAAAAAAAATCTATTAATGTACTTGAATAAAATTCATAAAAAAAAGTAGTAGCAACTAAAGTAGCAAACTTAATATCTCAAAGATGCAATTGCTTTGGTTTTAATAGATTTTTTAATTTAATTTTATTGATTATATGTTATATATCCTTTCTTATCCAAAATAAGAATATCTAAACCAAGCATCTAATAAATCTTATTGTTTAAAAGACAATATGTAATATAACATACAAATGTTGACAAATATATGCTCTAACGTGCTTCGCAATAATTTAAGAGATGTACTGACATGAATTACTTAAGATTCTAGTATAAATAGTGATTAGATTAGAAGTACCTTGTAGGTAGTGACGCCATTGTTGGAATTAATCTACAACAATAAAAAGTTCTTTGTCTTGAAGCTTGTGATTAATTTGAATTGCTAAGAAATTTTATTAAATGAAAAGAAATAGAATGAAGTCTATTATTTCCATCCATTTGAAATACAATTTTATTGAATATAAAGTTTCATGCATTTGTTTTCATAAAAATTTCTTTGAAAAATCTAAACAATATAAAATAGAAGTTAAAAAATATTTTTTTAATATATATATATATATATAAATGTATTTCTTCTATATCCTTATTCTATTCTGATGTGTCCTTGGAAGTTAGTTGTGTAAAACGAATAGCACATTGAGAGAAGTTCTTAATGAATATTCAATAATAATGTGTAAATCTCAAAAAGAATTAAACAACACATATTGTTCTTGGAGTTATTCAATCTATAATAGTCTATAAATTTTTAGACTTATTTTAGAAACCACTCTTTGAAATAATATATTCCAAAAATTATATTTGAGTTGTGTAAAATTCATATTTATTTAACTTGATAAACAATCTTGTATCTCTGAGTTTTTGTAATATGATGTTTAATATACTTGTTTTGAATACAAGTTTTGCAAGATTAAGTTTTTTAATATGATATTTTATCTATTATTTTACAACCAGAAAATCTAATATAATTTTAAAAAATCAGAAAAAATATTTAAATTATTCAACCCACAAATATTATATGAAGGAGATAGATTTGTACATCAAATAAATAAAAGAAGAAGGATAAAGATTTTAAAAGCATTAGAATTGGTAGGAAAAAAAATTCTTTGTGAAATCAATATTGGTCTTGAAAATGCTTGCATTATAGAGATTCTCTTGGCATATATTTGAGATTGTACTAATATGCACTTAGAAACTTGTAGTGTGATTGTTTGTAAGATGTAAAGGTAAAGATTATTTTTATATGGCTGCTCATTCATATGCTGATTTATAGATCTTGTTTAATTCGTCTCTACATTCTCTATTTGTAAAAATTGTTCAACCAAAATCAAATTAGTAATAAAGTATTAATTTTGGGATAAAAGTGAAGGCTTATTATTATTGGGATGCAAGTTGCTACATTATACATTAACAACATAGATACAGATTGTATCAGAGTTGAGATTTTAAAAATAATAGATAAAGGTTGGATCTTATATTTAGATCAAGTAGTTAAAATACAAGCAACAAAGTTAAAAACTCATTTTTTTTACAACTCATTTTCTTTATCAAGCATCTAAATCTATATAATTTAGATCTTTTTATAAATTGCATGCTATTATATGTCTCTTCTGGTAGTTTCTTTAAATAGACTATATTTTTCTTATCAAAAATATTACACATACCCATATTCTTGATCTTATTTCTTTCTTCTTACTTATATACAACTATATTGTATTTTGACGAAAAATAATTAAACTTAAAATTTTAATTTTTTGACACAATCATTTCAATTTATTTATTAAAAGGACACAGATAGAAAATTTACCAATATTTCTTTTGATTTTAAATATATATATATATATATATATATATATATATATATATGTAGAATATAAAATTTCTCAATTCTTTAAAAAAAATTACCTGATACTTCTTTAAAATACTTCATTTATTTTGTTCACCTTTTAAAAAATTTACATTAGAAAATATACTATTAAATAAATCTTTTTATTTTCTTTAAAGTTTTGAAGTAAAATCCTAAGATAATTTGATTTACTTGTATTAGCATCAACAAAATAATTCATTTTTTAATTGTAATTCTATATTGATAAATTTGTATAAAAAATATTATTAAATTTTTAATATCTCTAATAATAAGAATTATAAAAATTAGAATATATTAAAAATATATTAATACATGTAAAATAAGATAGTAAAATAAATAGAAGAAAATATTTCAAAAATCAAAAATTGTATGTATCTATATATATATATATATATATATATATATGTTTGTTTTTTTTGTCATAATATTATTATTTATAAAAATAATTTTGAATTAAAAATGTAATTATGTACTTTTAGAAGATGTAATACTAATTGAATAATATTTGGTATTTCATCATATAATATAATTCCAAAAAAATATTATAATCCTTTTGGATTTGCAATTGTTGTAGTTATGTGTTGTCTTTTGTCCACTAGATTAAAGACACAACATAATAGGCTTGTCCACTATTTAAGATAGCCTTGATAGAGGTTCTATGAGAGGCTTGTTCTCTATTTAAGACTTTTTATCCCTCTCTTGGCAAAAGGAGCAAAGTTGCTATTCTTGTAACATAAAAGATATTTTTTTCAAGGAGTGATTAGAACGTTCTATAAACAACTTTTAAGAAGTTTTTAAACTCTAGTTTGTAATTTAAGAAATATTTGAATAAACTTATATTAATTAAATCTTCATAATACAACCTTAGTGTAAATGTTTCTATGCTTATATGTAATCTTATGTTTTTTCTTTTAACTATAATATAATTTCTATAAATATATTATTAAACTATATTATTAAACTATATTATTGATATTTCTTATTTTTATAGATGTTCTATTAAATTGCTTATAGCCAAATATTA